AGGCGTGTTGATTAATAGCTTATTTTTTTAATATTTGATTAAGCATATGATATGTTTTAGATATCTTATGACACAAATATTGACCTAGAGATAGTAAGCATTTTATCATAATTAAATGATTGGTTTAATAAATATCAGAAAATGGTATCAAAAATAAAATTCTCGTGGATGAATCAAGAAATGCGTAAATCCTCAAATTACAAAACATTTAAACCACTGGAAATGGTATGGAGAAAAATACCTACTAATAAAATTCGTAATACAGTCTATTTAATGTACAATATATGGTTTCGATTTATCAATTTCAATGTTTATTGAATTCTTGACGTTCTAAAACCTCAAATTTACAGACTTTCAATAAACTTTCAGCCTTCGTTTAAAAGTTATAAACATTAAACAAATATTTTTTCAAAATAGTAGTTTTGAATTTCTTATAAAATATATCATCATTTCTTTTTTAGCTTATAAAAACTTAAAAACTTTAATAGGTCCTAAGCAGTTAACATTACCGAATAAACATCTAGTTTATTTTTATAATATAMAAATTATATAGGTACTTCAGAGATTTAAAGCAAATGTAATCTATTAGAACATCATACATTAAAATCTTTAACCAAACCAAATTACATTTTCCAGATTTGTCTATTGGTTTAAAATATTTATTAACATTTAAAGAATACCCTACAACTTTGTTTGTCGAATAATAGCTTTAGAAATATTAGAATTTTTAAATTATTGGAATATCAAACCATACAACTATACCAACTTCATTATAATAGATTTATAATATTTTATGTTAAAGATATAAAAGTCAAGTGTTTGCGTATTATATGTATTTTACAAACGTATTACCATCATAACCTAGTTACCTACCTAGCAACTTAAATAAACAGAAAAATAATATTTTCGTAATCCACATGGTAATATACTGTCTAAAAAAATACCTTCAAAATGTATCGTTTGTTTACGTATCAAGTAAATCAATTAACTTAAGTCATGTGATCATTTTCAGTTATTTAAAAATTATGATCAATTAGCATGAATGAACAGTTACCATAATCTAACGTGGATTAAAATGCCTAAAATCCTATTCAGACTTATTATACTTAATAATAACTAAAGATGCGTCGATCACCTCTTTATGRTCTTCTTGTGATTCTGCTGAATCGTTGTGTTGTTGAAAAAAACTTCTGGGATTCTCTAAATGCTTCACTGTTCTTTGATAAAACTTCATGAACGTATCCCTGCGGTTAAATCCCTCGGTCTCTCCTTTTTTATCGTCCACTCTATCTCTTTGACTTTCATATTCGTTAGTCGCACTCGACAAACTCATCGAATTATTTTGTGCRTACTGTTTTTCTTGGTGTAAACTAACATTATCGTTATAATAGCCGTCATCATACTCTTCAAATTGACCCTTAACAATTGTTTCGGTGTAATTGTAATCTTCACCGTCTTTATGGTCCAACGAACTAGACCTCTGGTCAATGCTACTCCTTCGTTGAATTTTTTGATAGGTTTGGGGTAACGAAGGCGATTGCTTAATCCGAGAGTGAGGTATTTGAGGTAACATTTTTTTGGTACTCGATACC